CAATTTTTTGGATTTAAAATTTCTCGAGTTTTCAATTATTCGATTCTTTAATTTTTCAGTTTTTAGATTTTCCAAATTTTGGACCTTTTAGTTTTTAGATTTTGCAATTTTTCGGTTGTTCAATGTTTTGATTTTATAGTTTGGCCTCTTGTCGATGTGAAATTTATAAGTTTTTGGATTTTTTGATCAATTGAATCAATTTTTCTTCCGATTTGCAATTTTCCGAGTTTTTAAGTTTAAATTGTTCAGTTTTTCAATTTTTCAATTTGAGTTTCTCGAGTTTTCAATTTTTAATTTTGCAATTTTTCGTTTCGGTTTTTTATTTTCTTTATTTTTGCAATAATGTAATTTTTCGATTTGCGATTTCTCAATTTTTAATTTTTTTGGTTCAATTTTTAAATTTTGCAATTTTTTGGATTTAAAATTTCTCGAGTTTTCAATTATTCGATTCTTTAATTTTTCAGTTTTTAGATTTTCCAAATTTTGGACCTTTTAGTTTTTAGATTTTGCAATTTTTCGGTTGTTCAATGTTTTGATTTTATAATTTGGCCTCTTGTCGATGTGAAATTTATAAGTTTTTGGATTTTTTGATCAATTAAATCAATTTTTCTTCCGATTTGCAATTTTCCGAGTTTTTAAGTTTAAATTGTTCAGTTTTTCAATTTTTGAATTTGAGTTTCTCGAGTTTTCAATTTTTAATTTTGCAATTTTTCATTTCGGTTTTTTATTTTATTTATTTTTGCAATAATGTAATTTTTCGATTTGCGATTTCTCAATTTTTGTTTTTTTGGTTCAATTTTTAGATTTTGCAATTTTTTGGATTTAAAATTTCTCGAGTTTTCAATTTTTCGATTCTTTAATTTTTCATTTCTCCAAATTTTACGATATGGTACAGTTCAAGTTCTCATTTTAAAATTTTTCAGTTTATAGATTTTCCAAATTTTGGACGTTTTAGTCTTTGGATTTTGCAATTTTTCGGTTTTTCAACGTTTTGATCAATTCAATCAATTTTTCTTCCGATTTGCAATTTTCCGAGTTTTTAAGTTTAAATTGTTCAGTTTTTCAATTTTTCAATTTGAGTTTCTCGAGTTTTCAATTTTTAGTTTTGCAATTTTTTGTTTCGGTTTTTTATTTTATTTATTTTTGCAATAATTTAATTTTTCGATTTGCGAACTCTCAATTTTTTATTTTTTTGGTTCAATTTTTAGATTTTGCATTTTGGATTTAAAATTTCTCGAGTTTTCAATTTTTCGATTCTTTCAACTCATCTTTTTTAATTTTTCGTTTTCTCAATTTCAGATTTTTTAAAATCAAGATTTTTCAATTTTTAACCTGCAATTTTTCTAGTTTTCATTTAAAATATGTAGTAAAAATAATAATTTTTAAAATATGTATTTCCCTTCTTCAATTTTAATTTACATCTTTTTCAATTCTTCATTGGCAATCTTTCGTTTTGGCTTTTTGTTTTCTTTATGTTTACAATTTTTCGATTTTTCAATGTTCCGATTATACAATTTTTTGTTTTTTAAATTCCAATACTCAATTTTGGTTTTATCAATTATTTGATTTCCTATTCTTCAGTTTTTATTTTTTTGTTTCTCTAATTTTTAGATTTTGCAATTTCTCGATTTAAAATTTCTCGAGTTTTCAATTATTCGATTCTTTAATTTTTCATTTCTCCAAATTTTCGAGTTGCAATTTTTCGTTTCGATCTTTTAAATTCTCTATTTTCATAATTTTTCAATTTCAATGCCTCCAATTTCTCATTTTTTTATAATTTTTCAATTTTTCATTTTTTCAAATTTTTGTCTTCAATTTTTTTTTAAACATAAAATTGTAGACAAAAGTTTGAAAAAATGAAAAATCGAAAAATTGTAAAAAAAATGGCAAATTGGAAACATTGAAATTGAAAATTTTTTTCAAATTTAGTCTTCAATTTTTCGGTTTTTCAATGTTTCAATTCTATAATTTCTCCTTCTTTCGACTGAAATTTATAAGTTTTTGGATTTTTCAAATTTTCGATTTTCAATTGTTCAGTTTTCAATTTTTCAACTTTTATATTTTTTAATTTTTCATTTTTTCAATTTTTCAAAATCAAGATTTTTCAATTCAATTTTTTAGTTTTTCAATTTCAATAGATTCAATTTCTCGTTTTTTTCGATTTACAATTTTTGAATTTTTTTGTTTCCTCAATTTTTAGATTTTACAATTTTTCAATTTAAATTTACTCGAGTTTTCAATTATTCGATTCTTTAATTTTTCATTTTTCCAAACTTCCGATTTGTAATGTTTCGTTTCGGTTTTTTATTTTCTTTATTTTCACAATTTTTCAATTTCAATTTATCCAGATTCTCATTTTCTTCGTTTCTTCAATTTTACGATATGCAACAGTTCAAGTTTTCATTTTAAAATCTTTCAGTTTTTCGATTTTCCAACTTTTGGAAATTTTAGTTTGTAGATTTTGCATTTGTCGATTTTTCATTTTTTCAAATTTTTATGTCTTTAATTTTTCGATTTTTCCATGTTTTAATTTTATAATTTGTCTTTTTTTCGATGTGAAATTTATCAGTTTTCGGATTTTTCAATTTTTAGATTTGCAATTTTTTGATTTTTCAACTCTTATATTTTTAAAATTTTCGTTTTCTCAATTTCAGATTTTTCAATTTTCAATCTGCAATTTTTCTAATTTTCACTTAAAATATGTAGTAATAATAATAATAATTTTTAAAATATGTATTTCACTTTTTCAATTTAATTTTTCCATTTTTCAATGGTTGGGTTTTAAATCGTTCACAATTCTTTATATCTTCAAAATTTTCATTTGCAATTCTTTCGTTTCGAATTTTTGTTTTCTTTATGTTTACAATTTTTTGTTTTTTCAATTTCAATACATTCAATTTTTCGTTTTTTAAATTTTACGATATTCATTCAAGTCTTCGATTTTTCATATTAAAATTTTTCGGTTTTTCGATTTTCCAACTTTTGAATGTTCCAATTTTTAAATTTTGCAAATTTTTCATTTTTTCATTTCTTCAATTTTTTGCTTCAGTTTTTTATTTCCTTTATTAAAAAAATCGGATTTTCAATGTTTCGATCTTATAATTTTTCTTTTTTCAATTTTTTGATTTTGCAACCTTTCGTTTTTTTCAATTTATGATTTGCCATTTTGCAATTTGTCTAGTTTTTAATTTTACGCTTTTAGAATTTTTCCATTTTTCAATTTTTTTTTAATTTTTCAGTTTCTCGATGTTTAATTTTTCAGGTTTTCGATATTTCAATGCCACATTCTATAGATTCTAAAAATTGGAAAAACCCAAAAATTGTAACAGTGATTTGATTTGGTTTTTTCTTTCCAATGTTTCGATTCATTAATTGTTTAGATTTTTAAGTTTCTCGATCTTTAGTTTCAATTTTTGGTTTCTTCAGTTCTTCGATTTGCAATTTTCCGATTCAAAAAAATGAAAAACTGAAGAATTGTAAAACTGAAAAATCAAAAATGAACAAACGAAAAAGTATTTGTAAAATAAAAATTTTGGACAATCTAAAAACTTGCAAAACTGAAGAAACGAAAAACTCAAAAATTGAGGAACTTTACAATCGAAAAACCGAAATATGTATTGTAAAACCGAAATATTGAAAATTGAAGAAATAGGAAAACCGGATTACTGGAAATCCAAAAATTGCAAAATTCAAAAAGTGGAAAATTAAGGAACTGAAAAATTTTAAAATTGAAAGAAACATTGGAAAAATAAAGGAAATGAACAAAACGAAAAAACGAAGGTCAAAAAGATCAAATCAAGAACTTGAAAAATTGAGTAAACGAAAAATTAAAAAATGAGAAACTGAAAAATCGAAAAATGAAAATTGTGTTATGGAAAAATTGCAAATCGAAAAATTGAAGAAACGAAAAACGGAAAAATTTGGAAGTAATTCTAAAAACTATATATGCATTGATAATGTAATATTTTGCACATTTCAGACAGTATTTATTAGGTGAAATTTTGAGTTGACGTCATCAATGTTTTGGAAGGAGATAAACGAATAAATTTTGATTACCGATTTACCACGGTTGTGATAGTCTTAAAAGGTTTCAAGATTTCAGAGCATTTGGTTTTGAAGTTTGAAAGTTAAATTGATTAAAATGATTAGCAACAAGCGGTTCAAACGGGAGACCTATTTCTTCATACTCTAGGGAGCATGAAACGTCGAGAAAACATGAAAGTGACTTGTCGCCCGATGGACTCGATTACCAAACTTCTTTAGCTTAATGCTCAGGAAGTAAAATAAAAACTTGCCACCTACTCACCCCACAAGGCGACGTTCTACCACTTTCCACCCTAACAAAATATTTCAACACGCTCTCAATCCATGCAAAGCTGACAGAAACCATCGCAGCTTTCCTCTAATTTGCAGCTGTGCCGTATGATCTTGCAAATGATCGCAACAACGCAGCGCTCATTCTTTGATCACCTCACGACATCGCCTCTTCCAAAAATACACGTCCTCGAACAAATACCGAAGGACAAATCCTAGACGAAACGAAAGTTGGCCTTGAGACAAATTTTCCGTGTCAAGATCAAAGTTAAGCTTACGGTCTGTCGGAGGTGCGCAAGGTGAGTAAACGTATTTGCGTTGATAATAATCGTCCCGTTGTATGTTTTGGTATTTAAAGAGAAAACAGCTTCGCACACCTTGACAAAAAAGACCCACGAACTTTGTCAGTTTGTTTGTGTTGGCGGCGCGGCAGGTGGATATTCGAAGTTCCGCGATACCTGTGAGAGTATTAGGCTCTCCCAAAAAAGGTATCAGCGCTAATGGTCGATGCCGCTGAATTATTCACGCCGGACTAAGTTCAGTTTAGGGGTATTGTTGGCGAAGTTTTTTAAGCAATTGAGAAGCCACATACATAATTACGCTGAATTGTGGCTCGTTGTTCCAAACAAAAAACGCAGTAAGTGGTTTTGAATATGGATGATGAAGGTGAGGGAACAACAACTTACCGAAATAATAAAACGAAAACCCCGTGGAAAATCTGAAACAAAGGAGAAGTTTAAGTAAGATGGCTGAACAAGAATACTGAATTAGACAACAAGAGAGAATAATGTAGTGTTATTGATTTTCTGGCAATTTCCACATTTCATTAAAAAATCATTAGGATCCGACTTGGCGAGACGTTACAAATTTTTAAATAGACTTGAATAAATAAACAAAGCGCTGTCCTACTGTTTGATGCGGCAAGCTAGTCACTCTTGTCCTACAAGAAGTGTTTATTTTATGCCAGAGATGGAGTTCGCTTTGGTTTTTCTCTTCCACCGAAACACTAAATAACAAATACGTTGTCACAAAATTGCAATACAATGACAATGTAGGTAAACATCTGCTTTTGCTTCGTCATCATCGAACGATATCAGTTCTTATCCAGATGGTTTTGGCGACGATATCGCTGTTAATACGCGAACACTAACTGTCTAATTAACGTGACACAAAACTTCTACAACTCAAACCAATTCACGCTTTCCATCAACTCGTTAATTTATGTTTTGGTTTGTAAATTGGCACCTCGCTATCCCAATTTGTGTAAAGTATCTACTTAATCCATTATTTTGAAAATATGGCCATTAACGAAAAATCACCATTATTGCCGACTTATCGAGCTAAATAATTAAAAACTTACTGTTACTTGCTTAAAGTGAAACAATACGCCGTAATGTTCCCAGAACTGGATGCAATTAATTCAGACTAGACCGACTCGTAGGAATAGTAAATGACGCAATGTCGGCAATTTCTTGAAAATCGTTCTGTAAAAAAGCTGCGGCTCGCACTCGGCACCAATTTAATCACGATATTGTGGTGTTATACGAAGTTAAATAGTGTGCGGCTTGTTCAGATAAGAAGCAGAAAAGCAAACAATTAAAGAAATCTAGGTGTTGACAAATAAACTCTGCGGTCCTCTCGAAACATGAGCTCGGTTTTTATGGCTTTGATCTCGGGATGTTACGTGATGTGAAATAGCGCTGTTCATGGCGAAAGTTTTTCATAGATTTTCAGTAGTTGGGTCGTCAACTCATTGCACAGCTGGCGTTGGAATTAGCTTCGACCGTCGACCGTCGCAGCGAATCTTAACCAATTTCAGACTTTTTAAGGGTGCATTGATTTCGTGTCGCGGGTTTTAGTATTAACACTGTTTTAATTGAAGTAAAAATTAATGACACTGACATTCTGCCATATTTAATATGTTTTGGAAGGTAAATATTTTTTAAGATGTGGCCAGTGTTAAATTTCCAGCTCTTAAAACATGGAAACTAACCCAGGTAGTCTTTTTTAAATTTGAGACGATTTATTTAGTAGGCACACCTGAGCCTGTCAGGGAGTCGCAAATTGTTTAGAACTTGCTGCACAAAGCTCAACTTCCAGAATTGGCCAAGAACAATGATTTCAAGACCGAATTCGAGCCTTTTCCTTGGAATTTTGTACCCAAGACGTTAGTGGTTACGATTTAAGCAACTATGATCAAGCTGCTGCCACAAGTACTTGAAAACTGACACAAATTGTCTTGTTCGTCAAATTTATTCGACATTATGCGACTATTTACTTTAACATCCATGTATAAGAGTTTCAAATTAATTTGAATTTCAAGTTCTGAATGACGTCTCCGTAGTCACAGGGCTCCTGAAACATTGAAAAACATTCCGTAGCACCTTCTGATCTTTTGCCCATCTATGCCACGAGGTCTTGGCACGATGTAACTGTACCAATTACAATATCTAGTTAGTTGGTTTCTGTTTCTGTCTTCGTCCGACACACTGTATCTACTTCTTAGCACTTCAAAAGGTAGGACACGATACCTAAATACAGTGTGTCGGACGAAGACAGAAACAGAAACATACCGTTTTACAACATCTTGCCAAAATTAAAAGAATTCTACTATAGAGCTTAATTAACAAAATTTGACAAGAAACGGACTTTGAACTCTAGTATTTTTGGTATTTACGTTCGTATTAAGTATTGTGGGTAATATTTTTTAGATTTCAACTAAATCGAATGATCAAATTCGTTTTCCAAATCTGAGACGACATAAACCTATCGTTGCTTTCTACCTCGAACTTGGACATTTTTCTATCATTTAACTTTTCTGGGTCCGTGAAAACTTGAATTATTAGTGAACGTCCTACAAAATGATGCAACTGATATTTTTCAAAATTTTACCGCCTACGCGGAAGCTGTTGCCTTGAGAACTTGGCTACTAACACAAGTCGTGTCCTTGGTTAAACTTGTCACGATTTAATCACACCTGCAGGTGTTAGGGGTCCAGAATGCTCAAAATTCAAAAATTGCCGAAAAGAAATTTTAACATAGCAAATTAGTTGGAAAATAGTTTTTTTTTTCAAAATTTTGGACACTCACGACAAAGTTCAAATGACAAAACATGCAAGTTCGCTTATGGCATCGATTTTTGTGTAGGCTTCATGGTCAATGCCTAGAAATTAGAACTTGTGGATGGCCTCGTTTAAACGGTAATATTTTTTGTTGTAGGTTTAATATATTTTCTTTCAATAACGTACACTTAATACTTCGATTATGACCAAAAGTAAAAATGTTTGCCTCTTTGACTTGTTTTCTTCTTAATTAGAAAATAGAAAGTTAGAATTGACGATATAACACATAAAACTCACTGGATACGTTTTCTTGTACTTGGTCCATACTGTTTTGAAAGCGAGCTCGTTTCTGGTGTGGATGTCAAAGTGTTTGATGTTTCTTAATTTTCTAGTGGGTGCCTTTGATTATTATTTTACTAAACTGGTCTACAAAGTATTTATAATCAGAAAATCATGTTGAATTTTGTTATTATTAATTCACAAGTGTAAGTTCATGGGCGACTGCTTGCTTCAAGTTTTCTCGACGTTTCATGACCACGAAAAAATAGATCTCCCGTTTCCAAGAGGAATATCATCTAGATGGTAAAACGGTAACCAAAATTTGTCTGATCATCCACACCAAATTAATGACCAAATTTTATAAATGTCATTGAAATTTTATAAAATATCGTACTCCTCCATTTGTGGTTTACGAATCTGTGTTGACTTTTTACACTAGGCATCCAGATCGATTTTTGGAAAAAAATCGAAATTGTATAACAACATTTTACAAAACTATAAAGTTGTGGAATTAAAAACGTTTTAAGGTTATCCGTTGTTAAAAATTTATCCGTTCATGACCTTTGAATACGTGTTGAATTTTTACCCTAGACACAGAGATTTAAAAAAAAAAACAAAATTGTAGATGTATGTGTATTATATACCGGGTGTATCGAAAATGGTGGATTAACTCTTTTAACAATCAACTAATGAGTCTGGGAAAAATAGTACAAAAATTCCTTCTCACATTTTGGTGGAGTTACAGTGATTTTAAAATTTTGCTACGTTTGATAACTAAACAACACATTCATCTTTTAGTTAATACTTCTCTCGCCCATGACCATGTCTAATTACCATTTAGTTAGGTTCTAAGTATTCCTGTTTGGAAAGAATTTGAAAGTGCTTTGGAGCCACTAGTGTCTTTTCTCATAATAATTTAATTAACTTTCTTAGAGGATACGTCATTTGCTAAAATCAGTCTTATCTTAGCAGGTACTAGCCCCACCCACCCGCCCTCTCCTTTCTTAGGGGGTATCTTATTTGCCAAAATCAGTCTTTTCTTGGCAGGTATTAGCCCCGCCCACCCACCCTCTCTTTTCTTAGAGGATATCTCATCTGCCAAAATCAGTCTTTTCTTGCCAAGTACTAGCCCCGCCCGCCCACCCACCTTCTCCTTTCTTAGAGGATATTTCATTTGCCAAAATCAGTTTTATCTTAGCAGCTACTAGCCCCGCCCACCCACCCTCTGCCTTCTTAGAGGGTATGTGATTGATCAAAATCAGTTTTATCTTAGCAAGTACTGAGGACTAGTTTTAAAAAAAATCATAAAAATTTGGTTATGCTTTTGTTTATAAATGTGTTATTTAATGTTTTTGTGGTTTATTTAATAATATAATAATGCTATAATGATTAAATTAATGACTACTGGTTATGGTTATTGTCCTAAAAAAATTAAAGGTGGATTTCAGTCACCATCGTTACTAAAAATTCAGAAAGTAAGCCGGAGGTATTCACGCATTATGTAAGGATTTTTTTTATAATTTTTTTGGGACTTCCGAAACCCCCGTACATAACGTACTGAAGAGTTAATCCGCCATTTTCTAGACACCCGGTATACACGTTGTAGATATTCTCGATTTTCAACTTTCGATTTCTCAACTTTTCGATATTTTAGTTTTGGGATTTTTTTTGTTTTCATTCTTCTTCAATTTCTTGATTTTTCAATTTTTCGAATTCTCAATTTTCCGATATTTCTGTTTCGTAATTTTTCAATTTTTGGTGCTCTTAAGCTTTCGATTTCATGATCAATTAATTTTTCGTGTTTCTCAACGTTGCGACTTTTCGATTACTCGAGTTTTTTCGATTTTTCAATTCTTCAGTTTTTTGGTTTTCCAATTTTTCGATTTCTCAGTGTTTTGATTTTTCAGTTTTGCAATTTTTTAAATTTTCGATTTTTCGATTTCTCAATTTTTCGATATTTCAGTTTTGGTTTTTTATTTCGATTTTTTAATTTAAGATTTTTCTATTTTAAACTTTTCAATTTTTCGATCTTTTTTAATTTTTTGACAATGTAACAGAACCAGAAATGTCCAACTAAGCTACAAAGATCCACTGTCAAAGTTTAATGAAGGTATAAATCGCCTTTCAGTTGTTGTAATGGGGAAAGTGGCTAAGTAAAAATTCAAAAAGTACACAGCGTTCCAAAAAAAAAGTACAGAGGAGCAGACTTATAACGCTGAAATTGTAAAAAAAGTAATGCATAAAGTCAAACATTTTAACAAATTTTTTGAATTTACAAAAGCCAGAATGTGCAAAATATATATACTCTATCGTCTCCTTTTCGCAAAATAAGTCTATTCTGCAGATCGCAAATGCCTCATGACGATCAGAATCGCCA